TTTTTCTCTCCTTCTAATGTCTTCTTTTTCCTCTCCTTTGTCTTCTTTTTATTTCCTTTTTTTCGCTTTTTTCTCCTCTTTTCTAATCACAATTGTCTCATTCTACTTGTCATTTTAATCTTTTTTTCTGCTTTCTTTTTATCTTTTTTGTTCCTTTTTTGTCTCCCTTTTATCTCCTCATTTATCTCCTTTCTCTCCCCTTTTTATTTCTTCACTTTCCTTTTTTGTTTTCTTTTTGTTTCATTTTTTTCTTTTTTCTTTTGAATTGTCTCTTTTCTCTCTTTTCTTCTCATTTATTTATCTTTTTATTTTCCTTTTATTTTTTTAATTTTATTTATCTTTTTAGTTCCTTTTTATTTATCCTTTTCTATCTTTTTGATTATCTTTTTATTTTTAGACTTTGTGCTTTTATTGTATCTTTCTGTTTCTACCGAGTGTCCCTCAATTTATTTATTTTTTCATTAAATCTGAACTAAACAGCTAATTAAATAAAATAATAAGTAGATTAATCACTTAATTAATTATTCAAGTTATTATATTAATTAAGTTAATTAAATCCATTAAATTAGTTAAATTCATTAAATTATTAAAATATGTCTGTTGTTTCCTCTTAGGCCCACGCTGAACTTTTCCTAACTCCCTCCGAAGCAGCAGCAGCAGCAGCAGCAGCAGCAGCAGACCCAGCAGCAGCAGCAGCAGCAGGGGATTTCAAAGGGCGTTGCTTGTGTCTGTTGGAAGAAATAAAAGAAATAACAAAAAGAGATTGGGGAATTTTAGAAAATCAATTTCAGCAAATTGAATGCACTTTGAAGTTTTTGGCGCATTTGCAAATGGACTAAACACAATTCTTTTAATTATTTATTTTATTTTGTTTTATTTTATTTTATTTTATTTTTAGTTTTGTTTTAATTCTTCTATCTTTATTTCAATTTTTTTTTCTCTTTTCAACATTTTAAATCCGCTGTTTATTTTTCTCTCCAACTGAAACTCGAAAAGAAACGAAAAAAAACTAAAAATAAATAAAAGATAAAAGAAATAATCCGAATATAAAATAAATAATTAAGAGGAGGTAATTCGAAAGAAAAAACTAAAGAGAAATGAGAGAAATAAAGCAATTAAAAGAAAACAATTAAAAACCAAAAAATGCAAAAATTTGAAAGAGAAGATTTCGAAGAAATAATTTAAAGGAAATAATTAGAGAGAAATAAGTAAGCAGAAAGAAACCAAAGAAAGAAACAAAAGGAAATAAATGGAGAAGAATACTTGAGAAGAAATAGACAAAAATAAATAGAGAAATAAATAATAAACTGAAATAAATAAAACAAATAAATAGATGAAAGAACTTAGAAAAATAAATAACAGAATTTAAAGGAAAAAGTGAAAAAGGAACGAAAGGACAGCAACTGAGCAAAAGTAATTACAAATAATCCGAAATAATTAGAACAATTAGAAAAAGAGAAACGAGACAAAACAATTAAAAGGAAATTAAAAAGAAACGATTAAACGGAAATAATTAAAAGGAAATAAGTAAAAGGGAATAAGTAAAAGGAAATAATTAAAAAGAAATAACTAAAAAGATATGAAAACAATCAATTAAAGAGAAACCGTCAAGAAGTAAAAAGAAATAATTAAGAGGAAATAATTGAAAAGAAATAATTAAAAGAAATAATTTAAGAATAATAATTGACAAAAAATCGAAAAAGAAATAATCTAAAAGAAATAGCAAAAATAGGAATAATTGGAAAGAAATAAATAAAAAGACTTCAAAAGAAGGAAAAATAATTAAAGGGGAAATCTAAAAGATTCAAAAGTTTCGTTTATTTAGCAAGAATCTCTTTTTCTTTTTAATGTGTTTTTGCCGAACTCCAGGACAAAATAGAAGTCTAAACTCTAAACCCTAAACCCTAAACCCTAGCTGGGCTGCACCGCACTACTTCTATTGCTTTCAGACTCCTGCAGCTACAACTTCAATCCCAAACCCTAAACCCCAAACCCTAAACACAAACCCTAAACCCTAAACCCCAAAAATCGAACCCTAGGCAGTCTCTCAAACCCCACACTCCAATTAAAAACAAATACCCCAAAATGCCAATAAAGCCCATTTGGGGGCCCCCCTGGGGCCCCCCTCGGGGGCCCCTGAAGGAGCCTTTTAAAAGGCCCCCTAGGGGCCCCCTAGTAGGACGTAGGGGGCCCCCTAAAATACCCATAGAGGGGCCCCTAAAGGGTTTACTGCAAACTTCAGGGGGCCCCGAGAAGGGGCCCCCTATGGGTCCCCCCTAAAGGGGGCCCCCTCAAGGGGGGCCCCCTAAAGTGTGCAGCAGCATTTTAATCCGTTTGTTTGTTTCTTTTATGTTTATGTTCTCTTTTTGTTTCTTTTTTTCTTTTCCCCATTTGCATGCTGTCAGACTCCACATTCCCTAAAGCCAGGGGGCCCCTGCCCCTCTGGGTACCCCCTTTGGGGGCCCCCCCAGGGGGCCCCCCCAGGGGCGCCGCAAGCGGC